GCGAGCAAGAAGTCGAGAGAAATGAGCTTCTGCTGCCTCTCGCGAGTCTGCACAAGGGACGAGAAAGGATAGATGAATTTTACAAATTCAATTATAGGTTCACAGTTTCAGGTTCTGTAAACATAGATCAGAACCCTATTAGCATAAAAAGAGAACGAAATTGTAACATAGAAACAAACAGAAAATACAAAACCTGTCAATGTAAGGGTGTGGATGATGCAATAAAGTAAGCGGAAAAGCGTCAAGGACACACAGACCTGTGGAGACAGCAGTAGTAGCTGCATCAGTGGCTCTTTGATAGACGGAAGTGGGTGGTGAAGACGAGCGCTCAAGATATAAGTCTGTGGGACTCAAGTTGATACCAGTAGCTGCAGTAGTAATGACATTGCGATTTGCGTTAGCCGAGGAGGGTCGGTGAGAATTCACCAGACTAAGAGAGGAAGGACGAGGAGGCGTGGTGTCAGAACCATCATTGTCTGCCATCCGCTCCTCTACCTGTTGTACCCTCTGCAACAGGCGGTCAAGACAGGTGCCGATAACTGCCTGGCTATCGAACAAACCATCTGAAATGGGAGACCCAGAAGTCGTGGATAACTGCGGCAAATCTTTGCAACCTTTACAAGTACAAAACGAAGCCTGAACTGGGTCAACATGACCAAATGCATCACTCCCGGAGAAAGAGCAGTAAAAGAGGTTCAAGGGCTTAGTACGTATAAAGTTGTAGCAAGCTTGAAAGTTGGAAAGTAGCGGTTTCCGTTAACTAATGGCAGTACTAGTTAATTAATGAGCTAGTAAAACATTTGTTGACCAATCAGAACTCCTCCCAACTTGGGGGCACTTCGGAAGATCGTTGTTATTCGGAGCAAAATTAGAAGCCTTACAGCTTACGACCGGACTGAAATGAAGATTACGAGTAGCTGCTTTGTCATGTGACGTTGTCTCAACTAATAAGTAGTCGAGTTCTTTAGCGGTTTTGAAAATCTTGAACCTTATTCACCTATACATCTAATGTTTTAAGGTGTATATGATGACTTCAAAGATGGTTCAAGCATCAGTGCACCGTTAACAGACCTTTTATGTGATATGAGGATAACTCATCCACAAATAGAAGACTGCCTGAAGTAGTCGAAACTCATTGATGCTACTACATCGATTTACCAAAAAAACTCGTTTGTCGTTACCAACAATATTCAACAGCAACAACAACAACGATTTTCCCAGCCATTAATAAAAAGTAACTTGGCGAGAACAGCTCGCCGAAATTGATTAGAAACGGTTTGAAAATTCACAAACGAGTGCCTGGTGTGTTACAAGAACGACAAAGAACCTCTCCTATCATAAAACGGAAGTATCCTCCCACTTTATAGGATATGAGTAACATTACTCTCAACAGCAAAGAATGAGTTAATGTAATCAAGTAGAAATTCTCGCCTACCACCAGACCATAGATACTGTCCAGCTTGGTACCGACGTCGGAGATCCTCTAAATCATGAAAAGCAGCGGCGATAGCCTCTTTCCTATGATTATTTAAGCAACGTGCCTCTATTGCATCCAGACGCTCATGAATAGCTACAAGAGAGGCGTTCAATTGGTCCTCAAGAGATTTGGCTGCATTCTGCGTGGCGAGATCGACACTGGCTACGGGCCGATTAGCAACTAAAATAAATACATCGTACTTAAGTGCATTATAGTAGTAAGATGTTCATTACCCAGCAGATACCAGTGATTGATGAAGGGGCTCGAAAAGATGAAGGAGTAATTTCTTCCCAAGTCGGTAAAAAAGTGAA